GCCGCCCCCGGACGTGCGCGCGGGGCGCCGGCCGTTACGGGCCGTTACGGCGCGGCCGTTGGGGCGGCGCCCCGCGGCGTGCGCGGAGCAGAGGGCGAGGGTGCAGCTGGAGGTGGCGGGGCGAGGACGGGAAAGGAAGGAGGGCGCTCCGTTTGCACGGTATGGTTTTGCCATGCCACAAACGAGCTTGCCAAGGAGAGGCAAGAGACGGAGCCTGGAGGACAGCAGCCAAGGGAATAGACATTTGTACAGAGAACCTCTCCAGTGATAAAAACACACATTAGTGGAGATCCTTCCCTCCCCTCCAAGGTGACCTAAAGAGCAGCAGTTGCAGCTGTCATGGGCCCTGCTTTGCCGAGCACTTGCCATTGAAGCCCTCACAGTGTGTTTTGATAAGGTATCAGCATGGACATGACCAAGGGACGGGTCCATGTTGGGAACGGGTTAGTGAGATGTGAGCAACACACCCAGCAACACGGAACATAAGTATATATATAAATATAGATACATTCCCTGTTTCTCAAACTGGCTATTCCTCCATATGGTATCACAAGGCGACTTAAAGCCGTATTGTAAGCCCTGCTTGAATTCTGCTGCAGATCTGGATGTGGAGAGCCACACTGGTAGTGCGGGGTTAGCATTGCACACCCCTCTTTTCACTGATACTGTAAAACACAGGTTCAGGGTTTTGCGGGCGGCCTTACGTAATTCCTGAGAAGTGCCAGTAAATCAGCCCAGAGTATGTAGCACATACACTGCAGAAAAGTTATTTTAGGAATGTCTTAAGTACCTTCTTCTCATGCTTGTCTTCCCCTGCCAGAAAAGCCACATGATGCAGTAGTAGTTGGGAACCAAAGTATCCGATGGGATAAATGGGTAGAATAGCTCCATCAAGACACGCTTGCTTCCTGGTTACCCGTGTCAGCTCCAGATAGTTAGTTGCAGAGATCAACAAATGTCCACATGCACTTTTCCACACAGAATAAAGACTTGTTGATAAAAGTTTCTCCTTGGACTCTCTGGTCTAAAAATACGAGATGCACAACATTTTTTTCTCACCAGCTCCACCACCCATTCTCTGTTTTTTTCCGGGGCCAAGAACGTAGCCCAACCAGCCGTGTGCCATATTTCTCTGCTTCAGTCTGCTGCCTATCTGCTCTTTCCACACCTGCCTGAAAATGGCAGATCTGCTTGCGGCATCTTTGCAACATGCTCTTTGAGTTAAAGTGCAAACAACCTCTTTGGGGACAGATTTGGGGGTGCTGAGCACTTCCCAACTCCAGCTGACTCAGTGCTGCAGTTCTCTTCTCTTGCAGAGGTGGCCCACAGCTTCCTGCAGTCTTCTCACCACCTTTAATTCCCGCAGAGCCGATGGCAGGTCCCCAATCCTCTGGTGAGGCCCCCGTTCTTGGTGCATTTCACCTTCGTAGGGAGGGAGAGGTGCCTTTTCTAAATCCAAATGCTACTGATATCTGACATCCACTTAATATTGTTTATATTCTCTCCTCTCTCTTGTTAACTTCGGGAAGTCAGGTTGTTGACTTCTTGTTCTTGTTGACTTGGGCTCATGTAAGTGATAAAAGACCTGACTTAAAATATGTCACTGGGAGAGATGCAATGCAGTATTACTAAGAATGCTGGAAAGTGCCCTTCGTTTCTGGCATCCTGGCCTCCCTGGCGGTTGGGAGCAGAGAGGTACCATAACGTGCCCTGCACGAGTGGCAGCTTTGCTCTTTGCTCTGGAGGGACCCTGGAGGCCCTGGTCACCTGCAAGGTGTTTCTGCCTCGCACCATTTTGGAAACCTCAGCCTTGAACGTTTTACGCTTTCTAAAGTAGATTGGCACTTCTCTGGAGGACAAGTTTGCATTCTTTGAACTTGTAGTAAAAAATCATTTGGCTCGAAACCAATTCTAAAACACTGGATTATAATTTTGACCTGAAGCACAGATGACAAAATGATAAATTTGCAAAACTCAGGCATTTTTCAGAGCACATGAATTCAATGGGAGTATTACCATCAACATCAAAGATGCAGAGCAGGATTGAACCTGTAATGTATAGCACTAATGACTACAATCAAATAAACTTATATTGCTTGGGTTTTCTCCTACCTTTTGCCTTGTGTATGTGCACTTTTATGTTTGTGCCAAATGAGTGCAGAGTGGATCTAGAGTGCTGCCATGCTGAATCTGTGGCAGTTACACTAAATTGACAAGAACTGAAATAATGATAGAGGGTGACAAGCCTTGGGGAATGAATCCAGTCCACTTGTTTCCATAAGTCAGTAAAGGAAGTGAGGAACTAAAAACCTTGAAAGATGAGATTATCGACTTGGTGTAGTCTTCAGAAATATTTATACTTCATGTGATCTGCCTGTGCTAACTGGTATCTTTTTACTTGCTTGTGGTGCAGCTCAATTTGATTAAAAACCAGTACGGAGTAGTGTATCTCTATAGAAATTCATATGCCTTCAGTCATGTCTTTATGTATTATTCATATTTATTAGTTACATTTGCTGTGTTTGGAATAGTGCACCATGTTAGCAGGTAATTGTTTCGTTGATTATAGTTACTTCTTGCCGTACTGATTCTCCATGGTGCTATAGCTAGTGACAGCAGAGAATGTAAGGTATGATAATAGCCTCCTA